GCGGAGCGCGGGCGGCGGGCGCCCACGGGCGCGGCGCCCCTGCGCCGGGCAGCCGTTTTGGCTCGAGGGTTCTGGCGGCCACCGCGCCGCGGGGGGGTGCGCCTTCGTCCGCCCACGGGAGGCCCGGGCCCGCTGTTCCTCCTCCTCTTGCTCCTCCTGCTCCTCCTCCTCCTGCTGCTGCTCCTCCTCCCTCCTCCTCCTCCTCCTCATCCTCTTCCTCCTCCTCCTCATCCTCTCCTCCTGCTCCTCCTGCCCCTCCTGCTCCTGCTCCTCCTCCTGCTCCTCCTCCTCCTCCTGCTCCTCCTCCTCCTCATCCTCCTCATCCTGCTCCTGCTCCTGCTCCTCCTCCTGCTCCTCCTCCTCCTTCCTCCTCCTGCTCCTCCTCCGAGGGGCGGGGGTGGCGGTGTTATCCAGCGCTCGCCGCCGAGGCTCTGAGAGAGGTTGAGATCCTCCTCCTGCCTCCTCCTCCTCCTCCCCCTCCTCCTCCTCGTCCTCCTCCTCGTCCTCCTCCTCGTCCTCCTCCTCCTCCTCGTTCCCATCCACCTCGCCCTCCTCCTCATCCTCCTCCTCCTCCTCCTCTTCCTCCTCCTCCTCGTCCTCCTCGTCCTCCTTCTCGTCCTCCTACCTTCCGCCTCATCCCCCTCCTGCATCGTCCTCCTCATCCTCGTCCTCCTCCTCCTCCTCCTGCTCCTCCTCCTCCTCCTCCTTCTCCTCCTCCTCCTGCTCCTCCTCCCTTCTCCCTCCTCCCTCCTCCCTCCTCCCTCCTTCTCCGGCCTACTGCATCCTGCCCACTGTCTCCTTGGGTGCTGCTGGGACGCGTGCCTCTTTTCTCTGTGCTGTTGCCGCGTTGTGTCCTCGTCCGCGGGGCTCGAGTGGGGCTCCGAAGGGCTGTGTGTTTCGGGCCACGTTGCATTTGCGGACGCCTCGCTGCAGATTGGGAAGAAGAGGAGCAGCATGTGATGGAGGAGGAGGAGGAGGAGGAGGAGGCGGAGGAGGAGGGGGGAAGGGGGTAGGGTAATGATGGGGGGGGGAAGCGGAGGACGCGCTATGAAGGGGAGACGTAACTAACTCAGGCATAAGGAGGAGGGCCAGGAGCGAATGGTCGGGGCTGGGGCCGTGGAGATGGGAGGGAGCTTGGTGAGCATGGAGGAGAAGTGGCAGAGGGAATGATGGTGGTGCTAGTGGAATTGATGGTGATGGTTATGATGATCAGAAAGAGGAGGAGGAGGAGGAGGAGGAGGAGGAGGAGGAGGAGGAGGAGGAGGAGGAGGAGGAGGAGGAGGAGGAGGTAGAGAAGGAGGAGGAGGAGGAGGAGGAGGAGGAGGGGGGGCAGAAGGGGTAGGACGAACAGCTGTTTCTGGCGCGTGTGGTGCCTGGATGCCACTCGACGCCCCCCCCCGTGCTGTACGGAGGCACTTTGTCGTACCGTCCGTGCGCAGCCCAGCGACGGAAACAGGGAACGAGGAGAGCAGGCACACATCGCGAGAGGAAGCGGCGTGGGGCGGTGTGTCGCGAGGACCGTCCTCTGGGTCGCCCTGCAGCTCCCCGCGCGGTCGTGCACCGAGTTAGTCGGATGCGCTTGGGAAGCGCACCCGAAGGGCCACGCGACGCTCGGCGTCGCCCTGCGCGAACCACCGGGGGGCAGCAGCGGCCGCGCCCGCAGGAGCGTTGCGGCTGCTCCGAGCACTCGCAGCGCAGGCACGCCGCCCAGCCAGGGCCTTGGGGCCCTGACACTGGGAGGCTTTGGTGGCAAGTCGTGGGCGCTTTACATATCCTCGCACTTCCGTCTTTAGAGCGCGTTAGCGTCGACTAGCGCCTGGTACTTGATGAGGTGGCACCGATGTGGCGTCGGTTTGGCGTCGACGAGCGCCGATGTAGCGTCGATTAGTGTCGACTAGCGTCGATTAGAATAGATCCGCAAGAAGCAACAAGCTGGCGTGGGTGGCTCCCATGCGTTGCCGCAGCAGAAGGCCACGTGAGCGCTGCAACGGACGCCAGCGAACAGCGCCCGCGCTGCTTCGGCAGCGCCTGGCCGCTGCGCGCCACCCGCCCCGCGGCGCTGCGTGGAGCCGTCGGCGGCGGGAGGAGCCGCGCCAGCGACAACGGTCGCGCCCTCCGCTGGCTGATGCCGCCGCCTCGGCCCGGGCGCTGCCCGTCTCCGTCGCGCGCGGGGGCCGCCCGGCCCGCTGCCTGAGTTTGTGTCCGTGGTTGGCCCTCAGAGCCTCAGGCTCCACCGCGGCCAACATCGCCTGCAGGGCCACGAGCGCGGGGGAGCTGCCGGAGAGCTGCCGCGGAAGGCGGGCAGCCGCGGCGGCGCCCGCTGGGCGATCCGCGGCCTCGTGCCCGAGACCGTCCGCCTCGGCGATCCCGCGCGCCGCCGCCGCGGCCGGGGCGAGGCGCCCGCGCGGAGGGCCATCACGCTCTTCCACGCCTGTTGGAAGCCGGTGGTGATCTCCGGTGAGCAGCCCGCCGCGCTGATGGGAGGGCGGTGGGTGCGGATGGAGTGGGATGACACGCAGAAGGAACAGATGATGCTGATGATGATGCTGATGATGCTACTGCTGATGAAGATGAGGATCATGTTGCTGCGGATGCTGATGATGTGATGATGCTGATGATGCTGATGATGATGTTGATGCAGCTGATGCTGATAATGATGACGATGATGTTGATAATGCGACGATGATGCTGATGATGATGGTGGTGATGGTGATGGTCATGGTGGTGGTGACTTTGAAAGGGGGTGACGGTGACGGTGATAGTGAAGGTGATGGTGCTGGCGATGGCAATGCTGATGATTGAGATGCTGATGCTGATGACGATGCTGACGATGATTAGGATGCTGCTGCTGATGATAATGATGATGTCGCTGATGATGCTGGTGATGACGATTATGCTGCTGATGATAATGCTAATGATGATGGCGACTCCGATTATGATGCTAATGACGTTGATGATGATAACGATTATGATACTGGTGATGATTATGATGCAGATCATGTGGATGCTGATGATGGTTATTGGAGAGGCCTGACGGCCGGTGCCGCCGACCCTGATCGAAAGGGCTAGGAGTGGGGGGAGGAAGCGGAGGATGAGGAGGAGGAGGAGGAGGAGGAGGAGGAGGAGGAGGAGGAGGAGAGGAGGAGGAGGAGGAGGAAAAGGAGGAGGAGGAGGAGGAGGAAGTGCATCCTTTGTGTGCCCGCTCGAAGAAAGTGCGCCCCGGGAGTGTGATATTCTGACTTGGGACGTGCTCCCGGAAGAGGAAGAAGTGCATCTCGGGCGTGCCCGCTCGAGGAAAATGCGCCCTAGGGGGGTGGTATTTTGACTCGGGGCCCGCTCCCGGGACGCCTCCGCGGGAGGAGGAGGAGGAGGAGGAGGAAGGAGGAGAGGAGCAGGAGGAGGAAAAGGAGGAGGAGGAGGACCAGGAGGAGGAGGAAGTGCATCCCGTGCGTGCCCGCTCGAGGAAAGTGCGCCCCGGTGGGCGTCGTATCTGCCCCGGGCCCCCCCCCCCCTCCCCCCCCCCCCCTCCCACCCCCCCCTTGCGGGGAAGGGATCAAAGGGAAGGGGCCTCCCTTCGACTCCACTACGATGTTGTTGAATTTCGCTTCGGATAGCGCGCGCGAGGAGGAGAGCCCTGGGAGGGGGAGAACGGAGACGACGGAGACGACGAGTCGAACGGAGAAGCCCCTCACACACGCCGACAGCGTCGGCGGATTACGATGATGGTGCTGATGTTGTTGATGATGATGAAGCTGCCGATGGTTATGGTGATGCTGATGATGTTGATGATGCTGCTGACGATGATGATGACAATGCTGATGATGCTGATCTGATGGGGATGATGCTGAGGCGGGTCAAAGAGATGATGGTGATGTTGATGACGATGACGACGATGATGATGCTGATGATGCTGATGATGTTGCTGCTGGTGATGATGATGGTCATGACGATGATGGAGGTGGCAATCACGATCTATTTTTATGATGGTGATGGGGAGAAGGGGGAGGAAGAGGAGGACGAGGATGAGGATGTGTCTGAGGATGATGATGCGGACCGTGCTCAGGCTCAGGACCAGCACGAGGATGATGAGGATGGTGGTTGCTGTGGCGATGATGATGTTGGTGATGGTTATGGTTATGGTGATGGACATGCTGATGATGATGGTGATGATGATAATGATGATGATGATGAGGACGAGGCGGATGATGAGGATGGTGATGGCTATGGTGGTGCTGAAGCTGTAGATCTTACCATTATGATAACCAGGAGGATGAGGATGATGACGATGAGGATGAGGCTCAGGATCATGATGAGGATGAGGTCGATGGTGATGGTGATGGTGATGGTGATGGTCATGATCGTGATGATGATGGTGATACTGATGGTGATGATACTGCTTGTGATGGTGATGATGCCTGTGATGCTGGTGGAGGCGATGGTGATGGTGATGATGATGGTGATGGTGATGGTGTCGATGATGGTGGTGGTGATGATGGTGATGACGGTGATGGTGGCGATACTGATGAGGAGGAGCAGGGTGGGGGTGGTGGTGGCTGTGTGTTGGTGGTGGGGAGGAGGAGGAGGAGCAGGCGGAGGGTGGTGGTGTTAGTGATGAGGAGGAGGAGTTGGATGATGCTGATGATGATGATGATACTGATGATGATGCTTATGATGATGATGATGATGATGATGATGATGATGATGATGATGATGATGATGATGATGATGATGATGATGATGATGATGATGATGATGATGAGGTTGATGATGACGACGACGACGACGAGACGACAGCGACGCCGATGATGATGATGATGATGATGGTGATGATGATGGTGATGATGTTGATGCTGGTCGTGATGATGATGATGATGATGCTGATGATGATGTTGCTTCTGCTGCTGCTGCTGATGATGATGATGGTAGTAGTGGCTATGGTGGGGACGGCGGTGGTGAGTAAGAGGGGGGCAGAAAGAGGGAGAACAATACATTGCTTCCAGCGCCAGCGGTGCCCAGATGGCAACCGACGCCCCGCCGCTGTACGGGGACGCCGCGCCTTGCCTGTCTGTGTGTGTTCTTAGGTTTCAATGTCGTCGTCGCCTGGCCTTCGTCGTCCGTCGTCCGTCGAGTGTCGTTGTCGCGCGTCGTCCTCGTTCGTCATCGTTTGTCGTCCGTCATTGTTTGTCGTCGTCCGTCGACGTTGTCATCGGTCGTCCGTCGCCGTCGCGCAGGACCCCGACGACGTCGTGGAGATCGAGGCGCGCTGCCGCGCCGCCTCCTCGCAAGCCTGCGGCGGCTCGTGGCATCGCCGCGCCGCTGGACGACGACGACGTCGACGCCCTCGTGTCTGAGGACAGAGCCTGACGACGGCGACGACGACCGACCGCCCGCCGACGACGGGCAACCACGTCGATGTCGGCGTCGATGTCTTTGTGGGTTTCTGGTCGTTCCTGGAGGTTCTCTTCGCCATGGTGGGCGCGGCCGGAAAAGGTGTCGAGGAGGGGCTCTGGGAGGGGTTTGATGATGGATTCCGAGCAGGCGCTGGTCTGACGACGTCGGCCGATCGACCAGACATCGACGACGAAGACGATGACGACGACAGCAGAGAGTGTGATGGGGGGCGGGGGGGATCGTCAGCTTCCAGGTGGGTTCTGAGGTTCTCGGGTGTTGCCGCATGGCCTGGGGACCTTCTCAGGAGGTTCTCAATTTTCGGGTGGTTCTGTTTTGAAGCGGGGGGCGCGGGGAGTGGTGCTCCATCTCCCCTCTTCAAGGGGGCAGCCCAGATGCCACCCTCAGGGAGTGCAGCTCGGAGAGATAGAGCCCGACGAAAGCAGCGCCTGCGCTGCCACCCCCAGGCCATCTCTGGGTCCATGCTCCTCCTTCCTGGGTGAAGTCGGGCCCGTCCCTCTACAGGAGCAATACTCAAAGAGAGTCAAAACGCAGTCTGGAGACTCTTTTGCGCGTATTGTTTTTGACCATTTTGAGTGTTTTTGATGCTTCGTTTTTGAGGGTTTGTCGATTTTGTTGGGGTGTATTTTTTGTTTGAGTGTTTTTTGATGCTTCGTCGAACATCTCCCTGTAGGGGGACGCGCCCGACCTCCTTCCGTGGGGGCCCCGGGGCGGCCTCGCCGGGCCACCAGCTCTCGGGGAGCAATTCGGCCGCCTCCGACCCCGGGGGGCCCGCCGCCGGGTGCGGAGAGGCGCGCGGGGAGCGCGCTCGCTCCGAGGGGGCTCCGGCGGTCACCCCGGCCGGCAGGTCCCGCGGGCCTCCCCCAGATTTCGTGGCGCCTCTTCTTGTTTCATGACGTCCCTGGCCCCCCCGCTGGGCCGCGCACATGCTGCCGGTCATGATCTGCACCCCCCCTCTTGGACACCCCCCTCTTGGGCCGCTCCCGAGAGGTGGATCGACCGCCTACTTCCTTCAGATGCACCTCCTGGGAGGTCAGATTCTGAGTTTGCCCCTGGTCCGGGAATCCGGCTTAAGCCGGCTTGATCCCGCCGAATCTGGCTCAATCCCGCCTGATCCCGCTGAATCCGGCTTAATCCGGCGCAGTCCCGCTTAATCCGAGGCCCACTCTGGCGTAACAGCCTCCCCAATGGGGCTTAATCGTCTTTAATCTTTCCGACGAAGACCTCCCAGTAGTTGCCTCCTAATCCTACCCTGACACGTCGATTAAGGAATTGGCCGTTCTCGGTTCGTCGTTTTGGCGGGGCCAGGTCGGGGGTTTCGACCCCAGGCAGTTTTTTCACCAAGGGGAGGTTTGCTGAAGGGCGGTTGTTGCCACTGCCGAGAGATCACCCTGGCCATCAGGTCCCGCGGGCCTGGGTTGTGGGTCGGGGTCCTCGGCAACTTTGTGGGCCCCGGAAACGGCAGGGCCGTTTTGTCACCGTTTCCCAAAAAATGTCCCTTGAAAATAGACATGGCAAAAAATGGCGACCAGAAATGGCAACAAAAACGGCTCCAGGATTGGAACCGGAGCCGGAACCGGTCAAAACACGGCGACGGAACCGGGAAAATCGGCGTCGGAACCGGTAACAAAAACGGCCCTGTCGTTTCCAGGCCCACTAAGCTCAGGAATGCCTCTTGGGGTCTCTGCTTGGGGGCCTCGGCCCGGGGCAGCTCGGGGGCCTCTCGATGTGCTCTCTGGGGTCCTCCTGGGAGGGTCCTCTGCGGGGTCCGCCGGGGCTTCCGGGGGCCTTCTGGGGGCCTCCTGGGGGCCTCTTGGGTGCCTCCTGGGGCTTGCTGGGGGCTTCTTAGGGGCCTCTTGGGGCCTCTTGGGGGCCTCCTGGGACTTCCTGGGGGCCTCTCGGGGCCGAGGGCTCGCAATGTTCGCTCGGGTCCCCTGTCTGGGCCACCTCTTGGAGCCGTCTTGGGGCCCTCCTTGGGCCGTTTTGGGGCTCTCTTGAAGATCTCTTCGGCTGTCTTTGGGCGATATGTTGGGCCTCTCGGGCCGTCTTGGAGCGGTGGGAAGCCGAACATGCGAGAACGCCCAAATCATT